TACGTACTGCACACCATCAATGCGCAGAGACAGGTTAGACCTCTATCTTATATTGCAGCTAGCTGTGATCCTGCCGCGTGTCGGCCAGTATATCTGCCACGCTTTCGCGAGCTGTCATTATCGATTTATCAGTAAGCAGATAGATAAAGCTGCACCGATGTTTAGGTTTTGGCCTTCGTGTTCGCTAGCCGTGATGCCTGTACACATTAGGTCCACGCGCGACACTCGCATCGTGTCAACCCCAACTGTATCGTAAACATTGGCAGAGTCGATGTTGTGTCGATTAGCTGCAGGCGACACTCAATACGTAATCCAGTGTTGTAGGCACATCATGATAAACTGCGCTTCTCTGCGAAAACGACGTCGCGTCGTCAATTTGTCGTTTCAGTCGTTGAGATCGTGAATCGAAAATAGTTTAGTTAGGGTTAATTTTCTGTCACGTATATTTTCTGTCACTTTTACATATTCGCATTTTTAAAAGTGTTCATACATTTTTTTAAGGTTGAAGCATATAACTACTTATACGCGATGCGCGATAGATATAACAAGCATGACTTGCATTGTGCTGATATTAGTTTTTGAAATCGATATGATGAAATATTTCACAATCATACGCGGCAATTTTTTCAATACATACTAGCAATCTATATGATAGTATGGAACTTTTTTATAAAAAAAAAAAAAAATTCAATGCCTTGAGAGAATTTATCTAAGCAGCTAGGCTGTAATGTAAACATACAATAATTATGTTAATGCGACCATAGTCTCTATAGAGTATTATCAAGAGCGTATAAAGAAGGCGCTCTTGATATTATATAGATACACAATAGGATCTCTTATAAGATTTCTATGGATGCGACTACGCTGCATACATTGCATCACGAGTACATAATAGATATCTCTATTATGTACTCGTGATTGCATTTTAAGACCCCGCAACGCCATCTGTGGCTGATTCCAAGTGGTGGGCAGTACATAATTTTATAGTCTCCTGCTGGTACGCCCAGCGTACACGGCACAGCCATATGAGTGATTATTTGCTAGGTTGCTCAGTTCCGTTGCGGTATAATTCATATTATATAGATCGTTAAACAGGGTCGGTATAAATACACCAATAGGATCTTCTTGACTAAGATTCTATGGATGCGACTCGCTGTATACATTACTCTCAAAGTACATATAATAGAGATCTCTATTATCTACCTTGATTGCCATCAATAGCTAATAAAACCTAGGTATTTATTTAGTTCTGTGATTGCCCATTTTAAGACCGCAACGGCCCATCTGTGGCCGATTCTAATAAGAGTGCAGTGCAGTACATAATTCTCCTGCCTGTACGCCCACGTACACGGCACAGCCATATGAGTGATTATTTGCTAGGTTTGCTCAGTCGCGTTAGTATACATAGTGAACGTACCACGTACAAAGCATGCTTAGATCTCTGCTATTATTCGATTTTTTTGTACGCGGAAACTTGGATTACGGACCTGTGCTCTGCTGTTTGCTTATAGCGCGTCACACGACCGCTTAAAACCCAGTTCGAACGCGTATCTTACGACTCCGCTAGCGATACGCGTATAGCCACCTGAGCCTTGACATGTTAAACAGCGTTCACCACGTAGTTTTGGAATGCATGTTACGTACCGGTCGCTGTACACAAACCACAGCACTTTAGCGTCGTTTCAACTGTTAAACACACGCCGCCGCCATTTCGCCGCTACGACTGACACATAAATATAGAGCTCTACTATATAAGTCAACAACACAACTGGTGTGCCACAACTGGTGTGTCAGACAATTAACATACATCCACAACCAATTATCCCACATTTATAAACTTTATGCATTAATTGCTTCAAGCCTGAAGAGATGAGTGTCCAGACGCCAGGGCCCGCGTTGTCAGAAAGCAAAAATTAGTCTTAACATTTAGTCTTACCACTAGAATTTTCTTCGTAGACCGTCTGACAAGCGCTCTGTTGTCCTATGCTTATACGCGTATAAGCTATAGCTCGGTCGTTTCACCACGTCTGCTATACGCGTGTATAGCTATGACGAAGTACGTACCCATGTGCGAAACGCACTCCTTTTGTGCAGCGATAGTGATACAGCGTTTACAAACGGTATAGCTATGACCGGTGTGGGGCGTTCAGACGCAGGGAAATTGGGTTATTCTGCGAGTACGTACGAAACTCTGTTTGGTACGCGTCACGAACCCGTGGCATGTTTGCTACGTGTTGGACCCGCTAAGTAGAGTACAATATGCAACTCTATGTCTTTTGTTAAGACACGACTACGAGGTCTGTGGTTCAGACGGGTGTACTTTATTACTGTCTGTAGAGGACTACCAGTTGCATGATCATCAGGAAGCGGTATAAAATGGCATGCTACTCATCTGATATCAGTGGCTGCAGGTTACTCTGTTTTTACTATTTTATAACTTCCTTTGTCTTTTCATCCAGGTTTAGGAAGCAGCGAGTGATGATTACGCCAGCACGCCAGCACGGCCGCTGCGCTGCGGTCTAGCCAGCCAGAGCTGTGCAGACAGCCCGAACAACTCACAGGTTAGACTCGACAGCCTCCGTCTCTAATCTACACGGACTGTGTATACCGGCAACCAGTGACTTCAGCCCAAAGCAGCGACCAGGAGCACAGACAAACTCGCAGGTGACGATGTCACCATGCAAAGCTACGCATCGCCAGATTGATGCCGCGCGAGGGGGAGTCCTTTTGTTGTGTGTTGTGTCACTCGGTAGCAGAGTTGTGACCAGTGGTAGTACGGAACCGACGATAATAACACAATTGGCAGACTTAAACAAATGCGCCTGAGTAGTGTAGCAGACCAGTGGAAAGGCGTTGAAACGGGCAGCAGCGTCCCTAGCCAGCTTAGCAGCTAGTATTCAGTGCAATGCATGGAAGTCAGCAGCTTACCAGCAAGTATCAGCTGAATGCGAGGGAGATGTAACAGCAGCGCAGCGCAGTGTCGTGCGTCTAGTATCTATAAGCCGCGTACAGTTGCCGCATTCGGCCTGTGCGCGCGGCTATAGTACTAGAGCGTACGGGCAGGTGGAAAGCCGGGGAAACAAAACCCCAACAAGGTGTCAGCTGGAGCAGGGGAAGACACGAGTAGCAGAGTTACTGACTTGTAATTTGCCTTATATTCGTATAACCAACAGAACATTAAGTTAAACGTATGTAGTTCAATGAAAAATAAAAAAGGCCACGTCTGGACATAAAGGACAGGTACGCTAGTCCAGTTATAAAACTGAATGCGTGTTGATCATACAACATCGCTAATTCACGGTGCAAAGGGCGATCGCAAGTTGAAAAATAGTGTGGGAGTGCAGTAGACTACTGTAATCTGACGTCTTACGATCCTTTGGGGAATGTGATCCTGACGCTAGAAAAGGCCACGGACCGTGACCAAAAGATCAAATCATGCAACAGCTTTAAAACTCCCCAGTCTACGCGGAAAACACTCAGGAGGTGTAAAACATGTCGGTGTCAAAATTCGTTATATCAACTTCTAGTCACGCATCGAATCTTTACACAGCAAAAATGAAGAAGAAACGGCTTTTTTGGATAACCAGATGAAACTACGAGACACGTCTATACAGGTCAACAGGTCGCGTTATGACACGCACGCACGCACGCACGCACGCACGCACGCACGCACACACAAATATATACATATATTATATACACAGTATATATATAATACACGGTCGTGCAACACATGATCGTTTCTTCTGGAGCCCGGTCATTTCTTAGCTACACATTAATGCTGACCCAACAGTTTGGTTCCATAGGGAAGCAGTAGTGGTCTAATGGATGTTACTTTGTATTTAGAATCCCAGGATAAAGATTCCCTCATTGGTCACAAACGCTGTGCCCATGAGCAATTCACTTTATCCAGATTATCTTAACACCAGCTCTGGGAATGTCTTCTCACTCGTGGCAGCGAGGTTCAGGGTTAACAACCTCACCCCTCTAATACAACACCCGTTACAGAAACCAGAGGCACACTTGTTATGTCCTTGTGCAGCATCGGTTTGAACCGTAACATTATGAGCGTCATATCTTTCAGCAGACCATGAAGGTCGGTTGACCAGTGAACCGCGTTGCAGTGCGAACCAGTGAATTTGCAGTGCTATACGAACATGTTCGCAGGAAGTCGCCGAGTTTATTCGCTCGTGCGTAACCATACCTTGTTCAAATGAATACACATATTAAGTGAGTGAGAACTGTTAGTGAATTCTTAATGCTATAGGATCGATTCAGTAAGGCAAATCATGCGTTTTGATTATGTGCATCACTGCGCATCAGCTTGTGCTGATTAACTCTCTTACTACAGTAATCTATCGTAGCTGCCTTTATTAGCACTGCACCTTTTAGCTGGTAGGCACAAACCACTACACAGCTTACGTAACCAATCCGCATTGTATAGATCAGAGAAAAGCACTAGCATATGAATCAAATACGGAATCGATGAGTCAGGAGACACCGCGTCTTAGACAGCAGTAAAGGAAACGGGGTCTTTTCGGCGTGCAAGAGGATATACAACGGGCGAGCAGGCAGTTAGCTAAGCCTTGTGCGAGAAGTTGTAATTTATCCGGGGCACCCCCCCCCCCTCGACTCAGCACTCCATCATATCGTTTTATCAGCACTGCAGATTAATACCGTACGTTAGGGACGGTAGAAAAAACCTTGTTCCTGCGAGTGAAACGCTTCAGTGTACACACAGGTATGACCAACCTTACTGTGCACACACATACCATCAAGTGTATTAATACCTTCTTTATACGCTCTTGATACCATGCACGCTACGTCTGACAGCAAGCACATTGTATACAACACGCACTCGTTAATTAGTCTGTATCGTATGTTACTTTTATTAACATTTTCTGATTGTTTCCATTTACAGAGAGACTGTCATACAGACTATGAACAGGCTGTATTATTTTCATTATTATTACACACATACACACATCTGACCAGACTTTCACCGTTGCTCTTACAAACAATGCAACAACACTTACTGATTACCATTTTCCCAACCCAACAGAGTACTCACTTTCGAGTAACTCTTTGTTTCCCATAAAGAACCAAAAAGACTAGCCACAATAGATGCACTGGAGCCTATTAGGCTAACAGGTCAACAGAATATTGCCAGTCGGTTATACCAAGGCAGACGTACGTTACCATAATGTACATAGCTCTGTACCAAAATTACGCATCCAAAATCCTTTGTGACACACAACATATCAAGCAACTGTGCTACAATGTGCTTTTAAATATATAACTATAATATCCCACTTACTGTCAGTTGGCAGTTTTTTGCAGTCTACTAGTTGACAACTGCGGAACGTGCATAAACAGTTCACATTCTGTGAATAAGTAAGTGATCACAAGCACTACTTAGCTGTTGAAAACAATATAACAAATTTTAGCAGATACTTTGCATTACCAAGGATACTGTTAACGCAGAAGCAAGAGTAAGTAGGTTCCACAGAAAGCGCAGCTAGAGCAGGGAATTGAATAATCAGACATCAGTCGCCAAATTATAACTTAATTTCACATGTATGCCATACCAGTTACATAATTTTTGTTGGGCAGTAAATACGATCGTTAAAATTATAAACAGATTGCCAGCCACAAATAAATTGGTATGAATTTTTTAATATAAAAGTCGATCTGTTAAAGTATACAAAATTTCCAAAGGACACAGAGATTCAAAATAATTGCGTATTTATGGGAGTTGCCACCCTAAGCACTGCTTCACTAAAGGACATTTTCAGGGGATCAAAGAATAAACATACCCACCACTCTTGCAATTTCCATTATTGTTCTGGTACAACAGTTCAAAATTCATAAATCCCACAATTCGAGCTTAGAAAAAATGCCAGTCATTCCTTCATGCCACAAGCATGTAATGAGTGCTTTCGTCATGATACAAACAACAGTTTGTCTAGAGAGACCAAGACCAGGACACAGTACTGACCCGAGAAACACTACGAATTTTACGTAGTGCTAGTGCAACAGTCTACTGCTTATCTGCAGTCAAAGCATTTATTTATGCATGCCACACAAGTGAAGCTTGATATCACCACGGTTACGGTAATGCAGACGATTGCGACTAGGTTAACTCGTTACTGTGCCGTGGCCACTGAAACCTGCACTTTACCATGAGTTGTACCCAGTCCTTTCAGATGAGATTTTAATACTTATAACAGATGAGACTACTGGAAACATAGGCAGGTGATAAGACTTTAAATCAGACAATTTTATAGCTACTTGGTAGTAAGTGACAATGGAACATAGAGTAGCCTAGTAGCCTACCATCTTGATTAGCAGTCAGTGTTTATTGGAGAAGTTGGCTACCATAATGAGACAGCTGTTATTGTTGTTACCATGGTTATAATGGCATGGATGGTACTATCTACACTGCAAGGCACCTGGTGTAAAGAATAAATAAGAAATGCATGCAATTAACATCTATAATAATGGCTGTGCTCTTGAGAAGTCTGGCATGGCACAGACTAATCCAGTTGCATGTGGGAAAAATGAGCTAAGCGTACTCAGTTGACACTGACATAGCACGCACAAGTTTTTCCCTTGTGGGTACAAAGTCATTTAACTTGCGATGCCACCGAGGGCAACAGTCACTTGTAAGGGCAGCAAACTTCACAACCAGCAGTGCGTATCGTTAACCAAACACCAATGAGACACATAGCGCGACTCCAATGGCCAGTCAAACTTCACTTACATATGCATTTAACAAATGTGGAACACGCATAGGAGTGATGGCATCGTGGGGGGGGGGGACTACTCATAATAAATGCGTTTTCCTGACCATTTAATGTCAGAAGCAGTCTGCGATCCACCAGCATGATAATATGTACATATATATACAGCGGGGCTAGCGGTGGCGGCACCATCATGTGGCATAGCGCTTTGTCCATAGACGTGCTATCCTGTCATGCTCCTCCCGTTGATTCACGTACTGAGTGGCAATGCTGCCAACTAACGGATCATCTGAAATGATTGAAGGTTGCTTTATGTTTAAGGCGAGCCCACTCAAGTAGAGTCACATAGCAACTGAATACAGCACCAATGAATATAAAACTGATTCTACTTTCGACATATTCAAAGTCGTGCTGCACCGAAGATGCTATTGTTATACAATGAATTTAAATTTTGCCATGCTGCGTGAACAGAAACAGGCTTTGAGGCTAATCAAGAAGCACAAAATCAACACTGGCAATTGAAGATATAATGCAGAGCACGATTTAATTGACAGAAAACGGGAATTGATTAACAACTCACGCGAACTAACTGAATTATTCACTAAGGATGCAAGCAAGCCTATCCTTTCAACTAAATCATAAATGCTCGCACATACCTGGATTGCAGTCAGTGAGCAGGGAGCAGATGGAAAGTAACACTTTGGAGATGGTGAGAGCAGGGCTCCAATTGTCCTTCAGAATGTCTAGGCAGATGACTCCCTGACTGTTAATGTTGCAGTGGTATATACGTGTGCGGAACGTAACCTGTAAAAACGAGAATTAGTTTCTCTACGGTACAGCTCGTCTTGGAGGCAAGATGTACAATTCTCATATCATTACATTAATCTCTTATATATATATATAGCATCAGCACTCACAATGGCTGTTATTTAAGATCATCGAATCACCTGACGTACTAATCAATACAAAAGCAGGCTCAGAAAACTCATTCACTGACAATTAGTGAACACGCTGGCAAATCGATACAAGAGTTCTGCGCAGTAGACGAACCTTTGGTGGTTTGAAGGGATATTCTGTGGAAAAATGAATATCGAGAAAGAAGACACCACCCTCGTAGACGGACCCTGGAGGTCCCAGGATGGTCGACACCCACTCGTATAGATTGTCTCCCTTCGGCCCAGCACTGAAACAGCATGAGCAAGAACGCGGGATGATGGCCCAGCAGGAGACGGTCCAGGTTAGTGTGTGCCACAGCCATGCTTACGTCCACCGATGATGTGATGGTACCCAAGTGATGGGTACAAGTAATGGTGCTGATAGATTGTGGGAATGAGTTGCACATAAACCCATTTCTTCAGTGCTTAAAGGAGTTATTTCAAAATCATTGCTCAAAAATGCAAAACCTGAAAAAATATAGCGAAATATAGTCTCACCTAATAGCGGATATGTTACTGATTATATCAACTTAAAAACACTAAGAATTCGTGCTGTTATAGCATAGAAAATTGGAATTGAACATGCCGTAACATCATGGCATATTTGATTATAGCAACAATTAATTTGCAAATGACGCTGTCAAAGCAAGTGCACCCATAGTGCAATAGTTCAAACAAAAGAGCATCTGATTCTGTGTAATGTACTCCGTGCGATTTTTGAATTGGCCGATATCTCGTGCTATCGCGAGACAGTCCGAGATTTGCAAGAAATGGCGGCAGAAATACGAACTAGTAATTACAATTCGAAAGGTGCATGTTTTGTTGAATATAGCCAAGTACGAAGGTTCTAAGACATGTTAGCATTACTCTAGACAGTTGCTGTTACTCAAGCAATAACGATAAGTATCGTAAAAGTGGGGGGAAACACGACTGGTTGGGAATTATTTTCTAAATCCTGACTTTAAAACAACTGCTATCAAATAGCATTGCTGCCTTTTGCTCATGCACCCCTACCGTACCTACGGGCGCCGGCTGCTGCACTCACACTGCTGGACATGCACTCACCTCCTGCAATACCTGCTTACACCCCCCCCCCCACACACACACACGCCTGCAACCTCGCCTGCTGCACTCAACTCACAGCTCATCCAAGGGAATTTAATGCACATACACTATGACTGCAACCACGGTGACTCTGTATATGATCGGCAACACAGCAGCTATGCTTCCATTATTTAGCTTAATCTCTATAATTGTGCGGACCTGCTGATAATATCACACGTCTTTTAAAAAATAATCAAGTATCAACCTGTGGCTGCGTGATAGGTGCCATGAGCTTTCATCACGAGGCAAACCGCAAACAGATATTACTATACAATGAGCTTGTCTCGAATTTATGCGAGTAAA